TGTGCAAATGTGGGGGTGGGGTGTGTGGGGGGGGGGGGCGGGGGCGGGTGTTGAAAGCATCTTCAATGTCAATATCATCTAGGTGCACTTTATCTCTTTTTTTTAAACTTTTAAAAAATATTTATTTTTATTTTATGTGTATGCGTGTATTTCCTGCATGTAGATAAGTGTGCCTGTGTCATGCAATGCCCACAGAGTTCAGAAAAGGATGTCGGATCCCTTGGGACTGGAGTTATGGACAGTTGTTAGCTGCCATGTGGGTGCTGGGATTCAAACCAGGGTCTTCTGCAAAAACAACCAGTGTTCTTAACCACTGAGCCATCTCTTCAGCCCCCTTTATCTCTTTTTAGCCTTCTAGCAAGTTTTTTTTGTTTTTGTTTTGTTTTTTGTCTTTTTGAGACAGGGCCTCCCTGTGGCCCCAGCTGGCCTGGAATTCACTATGTAGACCAGGCTGGCCTCGAACTCAAAGATCCACCTGCCTCTGCCTCCCGATTTGCTGGGATCAAAGGCGTGCGCCACCATGCCTGGCCACAAGTTTTAAATACAATAATTCTTTAACCCAAAATTGATGTCAACTCAATATTCCTTTTTTTTCTTTTCATTGTAGATTATTGCTTGGATTAGAATATGCCCTGCTAGTTTGGTGGACTCCTAAAGTAGAGCATCAAGGAGGGTTCCCTATATATTACTATATTATAGTGCTGCTGAGCTATGCATTGCATCAGGTAAGCTAGGAGGCACTGTTGAGTAAAATGAGGAATTGGGGGCGGTGGGAGGGGGTGGAGGAGGGGTGGTATAGTGTGTGGCATATGTGCATGAGTACATGGGCCCATGGGCACACATGCAGAGGCTAGAGAAGGATGTTGCTCTCCTCACTGTCTTGAGACCGTCTGTGACTGAACTGGAAGTGTACCATTTGGGCTAGCCTGGCCAACCAGTGAGATACTTTGAAATCTGCCTATTTCTACTCCAAATGCTCTTATAGGCATGTGCATACCCTTGGGTGCCAAGAACTCAAAAGTTCTCGTGGTTGAAGAGCGAGCATTCTTACCTACTGAAGCATCTCCTAAACCCTGAAGAAATTTCCTTACAGCTGCCTTAATAAAGTTTAAGGTTTATGCATTAATCTGACAATGAAAAAAATAACTTGATGGTGAACTTTAAGTCTTAAGGCTTTTGATTTAATGAGTTCATGGAAAAGTTCATTTATTCATTTTTCTTTTAAATTATTCATTTATCAAGAATTTATTATATTTCAAAATTGACTCCAAAGCTAATTTTATTCGTACTAAGTATACTTTGGTCTGCTCTTAGATGTGGGGGGAGGTGTTTGTTTTTGTTTTGTTTTGAGACAGGGACCCCTCATAAAGTCTGGCCTGACTTTCAACTAACTATGTAGTCTACACTGTCTTCAAACTGGAACTCTCAGTGATTCTCTTGCCTCACCTCTCTCCCAAGTGCTGGCATAATGGGAGTGAGTCACAATGCCTGGCTCAGAGTTGGGCTCTTTCTTAGGTTTCTATTATCTTCTTTCTGAAGGGATGGAGAGAGCTGCTGGACTAAAGGTCAGAGGCTTTGACTTAGGTTCTATGTTAAAGTTAAACCAACTCTTTTAAGATTTTTGGCAGCTGTGCGTTAGCTGCCTTTTCTTGTTACATATGCTTGATATCCCCCCCAAAAGTGACCTCCATTTTGCTTTAAGCCTCACCTAAGCTGCTGTTTCAAAGTGAAGATTTTCTTTTGATTTGATTCAAGTAAGTGGTAGAGACCCAGCAGTAAGTTTTGGTATTCAACTGCCATTATTGCTAATATGTATTACAGAGCTGTGCTGGATTTTTAAATTGAACCTAGTATAAATCTTCTTGAAGTGATGTATACTAACTTCTTAGTTTTGAACTGAAACCTAAAAATATGCTACCAGCTAATTTTAGTGGGTTTTTTTGTTCTGTTTTGTTTTGTTTCCCCCCCCCCCCCATACAATTAAGTCATTTAGAAGGCTGGGTATGGTTAAAGGCATGCCTGTAATCCTAACATTTGAAAGGTGGAGGCAGGAAGATCAGGAGTTTGGGTTTTGGCTATATAGTGAATTGGAGGCCAGTCTAAGTTACGTAAGACCCTGTCTCAAAAAAACCAATAAATAATAAGAAATAAGAAGAATTCCACAGTAAATTATATCTGACTAACCATATGTTTATAAAATTATTAAGACAGGGGTATCAGTATCAGCTACAGATTTTTTTTTCTTTTTTGTACATATATATACACACACACACACACGTATGGTACATTGAGGTACAGTGCAGATAAGAGATTTTGCTTTTTTCCCTTGCATCCTTCAGGTCACCTCATCTGTCACCTTTTTTGTTCAGTCTTCTTTGACTGTGTGAGGTGTAATTAATCTCTTAGTTCTGTCCTAGCAGCACAGTGCATACTTCTATTTACAGTATTTACTGCATTATATCATAATTCTTTTTAAAATTTTTTTTAGAAGAAGCATTTCATTACAGCTTTAACATACTCAGAAACAATTTCCAGAGCAAAGATACATCTCTTTCAAAAGTGGTTATAAAATTTTTAGGTTCACGGTTGAATTAATATAGTTATACAAAATTGACCTCAGTATAAACCCCAGGAGAGAGGCTGGTGGGTTGTGCTGCATTATATCATAATTCTTTATTCCCTGTATTTCTAGCATATAATAAATTCCTCAAGGGAATAGGATTGTTTCATAGTCATCTTTATATTGTCATAATCTTGAAGTCTGGTTTATAGTATGTACTTTAAGGTTTATGGAATTGAGTTCAGTAGAAATCATGAAAAATGAATTTTCAAGTTTTATGATTTTGATATTCCTAGTTTATGGTATAGCTTTTGAAGTGTAACCACAGGGGTCAGGAACCAGGGGTGCAACTCTTTGGTTTTCTCATACTTCTGCTTGATGCCCATGCCAAGCCCCAACACCCTACTCCCTAATAAAAGGAAAAAGAAGAAAGTCTACTCACACCATTTAAAATGTTTTACATTTTTCTTGTAGGTTACATTGTATAGCATGTATGTTTCAATAATGGCTTTCAACGCAAAGGTTAGTGATCCACTTATTGGAGGAACATACATGACCCTTTTAAATACTGTGTCCAATCTGGGAGGAAACTGGCCTTCTACAGTAGCTCTTTGGTTGGTGGACCCTCTCACAGTGAAGGAGTGTGTGGGAGCATCAAACCAGAATTGTCGAACACCTGATGCTATTGAGGTAAGTGTGTTTTAGTTTTAGATAATAAGCACATTTGGAGATAAAGTCTCTTGTTTACCTCTAGATGTACTGTTTCCTAAAAATCATATCTACCCATAGAATCTATTATAGAAGTTAGATATTTTATCCCCATCATAATTGAGACCTATTATATATTCATATTAGTGAGACTAGCTGAGGTAAAGGTGCTTCTCAGCACTCAGTCTTACCCCTATATTGAGGGTCACTGACCTATTTAAAAACAGTTAGAAATAATAATAGCTAAGTTTTCAATGCTAGGAAAGGACAAATTTCAGTGCCTAATTCCAGGACCTAGTTACACAAAACAAATGTAGCTAAGGCTGAATGGTGAGTGGTCTTTTGATAAATTATTTCAAAATTAATATTAGTCTACTTCTAGAATAAGTTTATTGGAAATTCCTTTATATTTCCGAATATAAAAAACTCCATCTTAAAAGTGAGTACTGGGACTGGAGAGATGGCTCAGCAGTTAAAAGCACTGGCTGCTATTGCAGAAGACCCAGGTTTGAATCCCAGCACCACATGGTGGCTAGCAACTCCAGCTCAACAAGATCAGAAGCCCTCTTTTGTCCTTTATGGGTACTGCACCACATGGGTGCACTTATACACGTGCAGGCGTGACACTCAAACACATAAAATAAAAATAAATTAAAAAGTGAGTATTATTTGCAGCAAGAGTGCAAAATTGTTTTTAATCCTGTTGATAGCATTGAAGAGATTAAGCTATACTAACATAGCCAGTCATGGTGACATAATCCTATAATCCCAGTGCTTGGGAGGCTGAGGCAGGGGAATTGCAAATTTGAGGCCAGCCTATGCTATATAGCATGTTTCAGATCAGCCTGTGCTATAGCAAGATCTTACCTAAAACAAAACAAAATAAAAAGCCAGACAGCACATATCTTGTTATTTGAAGTGAAATATTGAAATGTTGTCTGTTCTGTTTTTGTTTTTTTTTTTTAGACAGGGTCTCCATGTAGCCCCAGCTGGCCTGGAACTCCCTGTGTAGACCAGGCTGGCCTGGCTTTCACAGAGGTTTTGGATTAAAGGCATGCAATACCAAACCCACTTGAAATGTTTTCTTTAAAATGTATTTGAGGGGCTTGAGAGATGGCTCAGCAGTTAAGAACACTGATTGTTCTTGCAGAAGAGCCGGGTTCAAATCCCAGCACCCACAGGGCAGCTAACAATTGTCTGTAACTCCAGTCCCAGGGGATCCGACAGCTTCTTCTGACCTCCACGGCATTGCATGACATGGGTGCACTTAACCTACATGCAGGCAATACATGCGTACACATAAAAAAAATCATAAGTATTTTTAAAAAGTTTTAAAAAATAAAATAAAATATATTTGATTAACTGGGTGTGGTAGTGTACACTTTAATTCCAACAGTTGGGAGGCAAAAGCAGGCATTGTGAGATTGGAGGCCAGCCTGGTTTACATAGTGAGTTCCAGGCCAGTTGGGACCACAAGGAGACCCTGTCTTTTAAAAAAAAAAAAAAAAAAAAAAGCGAGAGTAGAAACATTAATTATTGAATTGTTGAATAGTTCTATACTGAAATTGTAGAATATGGGGCCTAGGATATAGCTCAGATGGTAAAGTGCTTGCCTACCATGAACCAAGCCCTGGGTTTGATCCCTAGCACTACATAAAGCAAGGCTTGATTGTGCAGACCTGTAATTATAGCACTTGGAAGGTGGAAGCAGGAGGATCACAAGGACAAGGTTATTCTCTTCTACATAGTTTGAGGCCAGCCTAGGCAACATGAAACGCTGTCTCAAAAAAGAAAAGAAGAAAAAACTAAATTGTAGAATATTCATTATGATTTTGTTTTTATAGCTTTGCAGAAAACTCGGTGGCTCGTGTGTTACAGCACTGGATGGTTATTACGTGGAATCCATTATCTGTGTTTTTATTGGATTTGGTTGGTGGTTTTTTCTTGGTTCAAAATTTAAAAAGTTACAGGATGAAGGACCGTCTTCATGGAAGTGCAAAAGGAGCAATTAATGCCTACCTTACTGGACATTCTAGAAGGTAACCATGGTTTAGTTTCCTGGAGAAAGCTATGATAATCAATGTGTAAGAGCATAAAATATTATTTAAATAAGGAAATTATTAATTAAAAATGCCAAATAGTTGGAAAATAAAGACTTCTGTATGTTTGATCTTATTTTTTTGCCTTGCCTTGTCAGTGTATTTTTAAAGTTTGCTTAAGGCCAGGAAACAACCCTTTGGTCGTGTTATTTGATTTCTGTTAATTTACTGACCAAAGCATATTCCAAGCTGCAGTGGAATAGTCATGGGTGGTAACCATGCAGTCAAGTATTGTTCTCAGTACCTGTCAGTGAGCTGATCTAACACTTTGGTACAACATATTAAATGGGACAGAGCTTAACATTCAGGTCACTAGTATGGCCTTACTGGAAGTAAACTCTCATTTTGAATTGTAAATTTGTAAAATTTTATGTGAAATTTGATGAAAAGAATGTAGACTACTAAAACAGTTAATTGTTGTTTTTCTGACCTTAACTACATTGTACAAATGAATCTGTTAAAAGAATAACTATTTTAAATGTACTTTTTGCTTTTGTAAGCATTAAAGATTTATAAAAAGATTATTCAAACTATTTTTTTATAAAATTAAAGCTATGATTTTTATTGATTTCCCCCACCCCCTCCCTCTTTTGGGGGAAAATATTTTGATTTCTTATTAACTTTCACCCTAAGGTTTACCATATGATTTTTGTCACAAGTGCCTCAGGGCACACAGACAGCTAATAAAGGGATCAAATTTGTGTTGCATATATGTTTATGGCCATGTTGTGAAAATAAAATTTAAATGTTCTTCTTCCAGTAGTTTTTTTTTTTTTAATTACTATGACAAAAAAATGTAAACTTTCCAATTAAATAAAGTTTAAATAAGTAACACCATAATTTTTAAAGCTCTTATTTTATAAGGAGAGAAATTTTGTTCCTTTAACAAATAAAATCAGTTGGTGAGAGATTATTTCTTAATTCAGCACTTAATTAGTGAAAAAGTTCTCATAATTATGCCAAATTGGGCATGGTATTTCTGTTCTTAAAACACATATTTTTGGCTGGGTGTGGTGGTGCACGCCTTTAATCCCAGCACTCCAGAGGCAGAGGCAGGTGGATCTCTGTGAGTTCAAGGCCAGCCTGGTCTACATAGTGAGTTCCAGGACAGTTGGGGCTACAGGGAGACCCTGTCTCAAAAAGACAAAAAAAAAAAAAACCACATACTTTTGTTCGTAAACAGTAGTTTTCAGTGGAGACTTGCTGGCCCAGAATTGGAAACCTTGAGTTCCTTAGGCCTTCCAGTGTGCCCGGTGCTCACACTGAGAAGGCTGTCTGCGTGTTTGCTACTAGGTGTTCTTGTCATTCTCAAAAATGTTAAGGAAAGAGAGATTAAATTTGAATCTTAATAATTTTTTTCTTTTTTGAAAGTATATATTAACTCCTGATTTTGTTAATTTTATAGTATAGGTTGAATTTTAGAGTGAGGTTTTTATAAGTAATGAAGGATAAAACTGGGTTGGAAAAAAATGGCACACAGCACCTGAAGACAGACAGGGCCAGTGACCTCTGGAACTCACACACTGCCACCGGGACGCCTGTATTGTGTTGAGTGGTGAAGCTTGCGTCTAAAGAACCACCTGGAAAAATCTCATCCTAGAGGCAGGGGGCAACAGCAAAACAGGCTGCAGTACAGTACATGGTGGTCCATTATCATGTATTATAACCAAAATGTTTACTTGAATAAAGAAAATGCCTACTGGACTCCCACGAGTGAAATAATCTTGATTTTAATTTTTTGAGTGAGAAGTTCAGATTTCCATAATAAGCTTTACTTCATGTATATATTATTTCAAATTATGCATACTTTCAAACAGCTTTAAATCTATGACTTGAAGTTTTTAAACATCTTTTAGGCCTTTAAGGTTAAAGCCATTCATTGCATTTGTTCTAGAAATGAACAGAATTATTTTGAATTACATTCTTTGGTACTATGAGTACATAAATATTTGTAATGCACACTAAAAAGTGAGTTAATAGTTACCTATAACTGTGTTGCATACATTGACCACTAATAATATTTAAAATGATCTTCTTGAATATATCAATGTAAATCAAATATTACCTTATTTTTATGTGCTTTTAAAAAAAAAGTTGAATCTCAGGGCTGGAGAGATGGCTCAGCAGTTAAGAATACTGGTTGTTCTTGCAGAAGACCCATGTTCGAATCCCAGCACCCACATGGCAGCTAACAACTGTCCGTAACTCCAGTCCCAGGGGATCCGACAGCCTCTTCTGACCTCCGGGGGCATTGCACGACATGGTGTACTTACCTACATTCAGGCAATACATGCATACACATAAAATTAAAAAAACAAAAAACCAAAAAACTGTTCAATCTTAATAAAATCTACTTTCAACTGTAGATGTTAACTGCTCCCATTAATGCACCAGCATACAGCTCTTTGTCAGTACTTCCTTGTGTACATTGGTTAGATGTATACATCTGAGTTTGAAAAGTTCTTTTTTTTTGAGACAGGGTCTTCCTGTAGCCCCAGCAGGCCTGGAACTCACTATGTAGACCAGGCTGGCCTTGCCTTGAACTCACAGAGATCCATCTGCCTCAGCTTCCCAAGTGCTAGGACTAAAGGTGTGCACCACCACACCTACCTGAAAAGTTCTTGTTAGGATTACTTAGGACTAAACCTCCAAACTCCCTCTGTTGCATTTAAATTTTTCTGGATCAGTTTGTTCAATGCCTAACTGGATTTAGCTCAGATTAACCTTAGCCTTCTTCATCATCATCATCACCTCCTTTTTTATTTGTTTATTTTATATTTATGCATTTTTTTTTGCCTGTAAAACATGTATACAAGTGCACCATGCACAAAATGCCTGCAGAGGCCAGAAGAGAGCATCAGATCCCTTGGAAGTGGAGGTGTAGATAGTTGTTAGCCACCATATGAGTGCTCAGAACTGAACCCTGTCCTCTGGAAGAGCAGTCCCTGCTTTTAACTTTGTCTCTCCAGCCCTAACCTCAGGCTTTCAAGTGCTGGGACTACAGTTGAGAGTCATCACTCCCAGCTAGAATTTTTTTTGGGAGGGGGGACAGGGTCTCACTATGAACCTATAGCTGGTTGGGAACTTGCTGTATAGATCATGCTTGCCTTAAAAGATCTACGTGTGTTTGCTTTCTGAATGCTAGGATTAAAGGCATGTACCACCATACCTAGTTGTAGACTTTTTTTTAATATTAATTTTTGAAATATAAATCTATGATAAAAACTAAAAATAATCATTTTCAGTATTTCACTTGAACCTTTATGGAATGAGAGTAGATAACATCACTGACAGAACGGAGCAGAAGGGCAAAGTCTATCCCATGAAGGACAGCAGTATTAATCATTTAACATAAAAAAATTCTATCATAGGCCAGGCATGGTGGCATACACCTTTAATCCTAGCACTCAGAGGGTAAAATCAGGCGGATCTCTGTGAGTTTGAGGACAGCATGGCCTATATAACAAGTTTGAGGCCAGTCAGTGAGACCTTGTCTCAAAACAACAACAACAGCAAAAAAACCACAAACATTTTTTAACATTCTAAAATTTTGTGTGTTTGTGTTTGAGGAGGGAGAGCATTGTATTCCATAGCTTGCTTATGGAAGTCAGGACAACTTGCAGGAGTCATTTCTTCCTGTACACAATGTAGCATCTGGCAGGGATCAGACTTGGTTTCATAGGCTTGGTGGAAAACACTGTTACCCTTAGGGTCATCTCTTTAGCCTGGATTTTTAGTCTCAGCCCTGTTTGATTTGCGACTGGGAGGGAGCCCTTACATTTCCTAAAAGTAAGAACTGCTACCTGGGTGTATATTTCCCTCCCCTTATTTTGGTAGCAAACTAGAAGAGAAATCACTAATTTCTCTTCCTGGGATTCTGTTTGGGCAGAGGGAGGTTCTGTATTACAACAGATTAATACACCAGACTCTTCTCTAAGCAAATAGAAACTTGTGTTTATTGAATTATGAGGATTATGAAGGAGGTTTATTGTTGTGGAAAGAGGTAGACATTTTTTAGGAAATACAGTTTTGTGGCACAATGAAAAGTCTATGATGTTGTATTTACTTTTTTGCCCCAGTGTATAAAGAGATCGTATTAGAATATCTACAATATTAATTTGCATACCTCATACAGGTCTTTTTCTTCATATGAAAATGAAGTGTGTATGATGATGCACCAGTATGCACAGTGAATGCATGTGGCTGTAGCTCTGAGCAGGGTGCTGGCCTAGCATGCACACGGCCGTGGGGGAGATCTGCTACACGTTAAAAAAAATGCTGGGCATAGTCACACTTGTAATCCCAGCACTCTGAAGTGGAAGCAGGAGGATCAGAAGTTCAAGGTCATCCTCTCCGTAAATGAGGTTCAGGTCAGCCTGGGCTACCAGACCCTGTCTCATAAAAGAAAGGGAAGAGGAAGGAAGGGAGAAAAGAAAAAAGGTTTTCATTAGAAAAAGTTGGTACTGAGCCAGGGTTGTAGCTTAGTTACTGGAGTACTTACCTTGCATGTAAAAGCTCTGTGTTTGAACCCCTAGGACTCTAGCACCACATAAAATCAGACATGAGAGCACACACCTATAATCCCAGCACTTGGGAAGTGGAGACCAGAGGATGGAGTTCAGGACCATCCTCAGCTGCATAGCCAGTTCAAGGCCAGTCTGAACTATATGACAGCCTGTTTCTCCCCATTGCCCCAAAAAGAGAGAAAAAGAAACAAAAAGGATGCTATGTTTAAATAGTTTTTATAGCAACTTTGTGCAAAGAATAACTATCAAGATTGAGAAGAACAATTCAAGGCCAGCCTGGGTCTACATAGTGAGTTCCAGGCCAGCTGGGGCTATAGCGTAACCCTGTCTCAAAAAGACACACACACACAGACACACACACACACACACACGGATTAAGAACAATATGCTAGTAAAATTCATAGGGAATTATAGGTCTCTAAAACATAAAACTCTAGTCACTTGCAATTAGTTACTAATATGAAATACGAATTTGAAGTCTATTCATACCTTGAGATGACTTTAAATGATAGAAAAATTTAATTTTATAGTCACAGTTCATGAAATTATAGTTTATTACATATACCTATAAAATTAAGAAACTATAAAATTGGAAAAGAACTTAACATTTTAGAAAGGGAACTTGGTATATTTGATAAATTTATGCTACTATTATGAAATCATATTGGTAAGCCAGGCATGATGGTGTATACCTGTAACTCCAGCTCCCAGGAAGATGGCAAGTTCAAGGCCAGCCTGAGCTATATTTCTAAACTCTGTCTTAGCCGTTCCCCCACCCCCTTAAAAAATATCTCCACACATTTGAGTCTGTATGTATTGTCCTCAGGAAAGGATGAAATTGAAAAACAAAGAAATCAGTGGTGAAAGCTGTCATTGTTGGAATCCTTGTGAAGTGATTACACCCATACACAGGTTTGAACTTGAAAATGTACAGCACTTAATTGTTTATATTGACATTTTTGGAAAATCTAGCATTAGCTTTGATAATTTTGCAGTTTCAAGTATACATGAAATGGTGTATTTGGTTAATTTATTAAAATAATGTGCATTTAGGCCTTAATTTTATATAGTATTTGAAATATATTTGGAATACATTTCTAGGTTTTTACATAAGGATTATTTAAATGTTTATGATACCTAATTTCAACAATCTGTTATTAAATGTTGGTATTTATACAATATTTAAGTATTTGAAGTATATCTGGAATAAATTATCCAGATTTTTGTTTAGAGGATTATTTGAATGTTTGTGATACCTAAGCTTAATTATCAACTTGATTGGGTTAATAAACACTTAAGGCATTAATGAGGTGCCCTTTGGTTATACCTGTGAGAGTGTTTCCAAAGGAAGTTAACTGAGGATGGAAGACTCGCCTGGTCTTGGGTGGCTCCATCCCATGGGCTGAGATGGCAGACTGGATAAAAAGGGGAAGGAGAAAGCCAACTGCTCACTTTTTTGCTTCCTGGTCAACGCTGAGAACCAAACTGCACCCACCACCGCCTTCTCTACATGATGGACCGCTTTCTTCTGAACTAGGTGCCAATATAAAACCTTCCTCCCTTAAGTTGTTTTTTGATGTATATTTGATCAAATTGATAAGTAATATAGTGCTCAGGTTTGGTTCCTAGCTCCCACACTGTGGCTCACAACTCTCTGTAACTCCAGTTCCAGAGGATCCTATGCCTGCTTCTGATCTCTGTAGGAACCAGGCATTCATGTGATGTACATACATACATGCAGTCAAACCCTTATACACATAAAATTAAATCTTTTAAAAACAGTAAAAAGGGTACAGTGGGTAAGAGGACCGGGGCTCAGTTCCCAGCACCCATATGGCAACTAACAACCATCAGTAACTCCAGTTCCAGGAGATCCAATGCCCTCTTCTGGCCTCCATGGGCATCGCATGCATAGGTGCACATATATACATGCAAACAAAACACTCATACACATCAAAGATAAAAGTAGCTGGAGAAATGGCTCAGTGGTTAAGAGCACTGGCTGCTCTTGCAGAGGACTCAGGTTCAGTTCCTAGCCCCCATGTGGTGGCTGACATCTGGCTGTAACTCCAGTACCAGGGGATCCAATGTCCTCTTCTGACTTCCTCAGGCATTGCACGACACAAGGGCACTTATATACATGCAGGCAATATGTGCATACACATTAAAAAAATAAAAATAAAATGTTATGTAAATAAAAACAGCAATAAGCTGTGTATGGTTGTACATGCCTTTAATCCCACCACTCTGGAACTGGGCATGCATAGCTGTATGACTTGGGAGGCCAGCCAGGCTACATATTGAGACCCTGTCTCAGAAAAACAAGCAACTGGAAAAACAGTAAAAAGAAAAGTAGAGGGGCTGGAGAGATGGCTCAGCGTTTAAGAGCAATGACTGCTCTTACAGAGGACCTGGGTTCAATTCCCAGTACCCACATGGTGGCTAAGAACCATCCTTAACTCCAGTTCCAGGGGAATCCAACACCCTCTTCTGACCTCCGTGGCATTGTACAACATGGGTGCACTCACATACATGCAGGCAATACACATTAAAAAAAATTAAAATACTAAAGAACAGAAAAGTAGGAAAAAGGTCAAAATTAATTTTTGTATTTTGGTACAAGAGGGAAGGTGTAATTTGAATGAGGAATGTCCTCCTTAGACTCCTCAGCTATTTGAGCACTTGGTCCCCAGTTCATGACACTGTTTGGGAGATGATGGGCTCTTCTTCCTTTCTTTTGTTTTTTTGAGACAGTGTCTCCCTGTAGCCCCATCTGGTCCTGGAACTCACTATGCAGACCATGACAGCTTTCATCCCACTGAGATCTTCTGCCTCTCCTTCCCCAGTGCTGGAACTAAAGGTGTGCACTAGCACACCTGCATGCCCTGTGGTCATGGAGCCTTGCTAGAGGAAGTGTGTCACTGGGGATGGCCTTTGAGAGTTCGTAGCCTCGCCTCACTTCCAGTTCACTCTTGCTGTTTTGTTTGTCATAAAGACGTGAGCTGTCAGCTTCTTGCCCCTCCTGCCATGCCTGCCTGCTGCCATGCCTCCCTGCTGTGATGGACTCCTCAACCCCTGGAACCATAAGCCAAAATAAACAGTTCAATAAATTGCCTTGGTCATAATATTTTATCACAGCAATGGAAAAGTAATAAAGAGGGTAAAGATGAAGGGGGCTGGAGAGATGGCTTAGTGGTTAAGAGCAATGACTGCTCTTACTGAGGACCCAGGTTCAATTCCCAGCACCCACATGGCGGCTATGAACCGTCCTTGAGAACTCCAGTTCCAGGGGAATCAAAGCCCTCTTCTGACCTCTGCGGTATTGCGTGACATGGGTGCACTCACATACATGCAGGCAATACACTCATACACATAAAATAAAAATAATAAAATATTTAAAGGGTAAAAATGAAACGGAAGTGTGTGATTAAATGATAGGTAGCTTGCCTAGCATGTAGGAGGCTCTGGGTCTGATCCCCAGCACAAAAGAGGAATGGGGAGTGGGGGAAGTGAAGGATAGCAAGGTCTGACTGAAAAGACAGTCTCTGGAGGATTAGCTATTTTACTGTCTGTTGCCTACTCTAAACAGTATGAACGTAGTAACTGCTGGGCCTCAAGAGATAACTTAGTGCTTAAGAGCATTCTTCCAGAGGACCCAAGTTCAATTCCCAGCAACCAAGTGAGGTGGCTCACAACTGCTTGTTCCTCTAGCTGCTTGGGGATCTTGCATCTCTGTGGGCATGCACATTCATGTGCACATACCCACACACAAACATATATACATAATTAAAAAAATAAAGTACTAGCTTCCTTTTTATAGAACAGCTTCTCACTTGTTCATTTTAATGGTGCCATTGACGTTTACCTACTTGCATGTGCCTACTCACACACAAACAAACGGTATGTCCACATGAAACTTCACAAGTGAGTCTGATACACAAATGCCATTTGTATCAATGAGGAAAACCACCAATTTACAATATTACATATTTGAATTGACTTTTGTAAGAGAACTTGTTTAATTTATTTGCAGTGCTAGGGATCCAGCCTAGGGCCTCACGTTCTAGAAAAAGTGTTCTGTAACATTTTAAACACTTGAGTAGACAAGGTAATATAATGAACTTAAGCAGTTGAACAAGAGTACTCAATGCATACTTCTGACAGGAACTGCAGTTTGGGAGTGCTCAAAAACAGCCTCAGGTGTGGCAGTTTACTAGAAAGACAGTATTTAAAGCTGTGGTACTCATGGACATAGTTTCTTAGGGACTAAAATCTGCAAAGGGCAGACTTCATGAAGCTGAGATCCCAGTGGTCCTCTCTGATTGACACTGGTCCCTCCAGGCAACCAGCCTTTATGTGAGAAAACTCAGAGTAGTGCAACCTGGAAAACTTTTCCTGAGCCTTGTCCAGAGGTATGAGGACTTGGTGGTGGGCTGCCCATATGGCTGATTCGTCTCCACCCCTCAGGAGGTCAAGCTGATTCCTGAACACTCAGAGCTGCCAACCTGAATAAGCTATTAAACTTTCTTGCAGGGTCAAGAGCCTCTAGGTAAAAGATAGTCTTATGAAGTAGGATATAATCTTATGAAGCAGCAGAAGGGAAAAGCCAGACCTCTCTGACCAAAGGTTAAATTTGTGCAACTCATGGTGTCTTAACACGTAAGTGCATCTCCAACCACCTCGTTTGCCTTTATTTTTTCATTAAAACTACTTAGCCAGGTTTAGTGAAACATACCAGTAATCTCAGCGCAGGAGAGGCGCGGGCAGGAGAGAGATGGATGCAGAAGACAGCCTGGGCTACGTAGACGCTGTTTCAAAAGAAACTAGGACTGTATGGGGCTCAGTGATAGAATCTGCCCAACACGGACGTATCTGCAGCACCATATAGTTTAAAAATAAAAGCCTATAGAAAGCAGCAAAAAAAATGGGGATTAATTTATCCACCCAGATTTCCTAACTTGATAGTTTACACCATTTTTTGTTTTGTTTTGGGGTGGATGTCCCTATGTAGCCCTGGCTGGGCTGGTGACAAACACACATTTAGGCCCCCAGGGGAGGGGACCGTCGGCCGGAGCAGCGCTGCGCCCCCTGCCGCCCGCTAGAGGAACCGGCGCGACTCGCCGGCCGCCGGGAACATGGCGCCGCAGCCCGCGAGCCCCGGGTCCCCGGCGCCGGACCGGGACGGAGCGGAGGCCAACGTGGTGACGCGGCTGTCGCGGTGGGCAGACGATCACCTGCGCCTCGTCCAGGTGAGGGAGCCCAGCCGCCGGCGGGTGGGCGAGCCTGAGCTATGCGGCCCCGGCCGGGAGCAGGACCCGCGGGCCCGGCGGAGGCCAGTGAAGGGCGTCCTGCGGCTGCGGCGCCGCCCGCCTCCCCCCTGCCGGACCGGGCCGGCTCGGACACTCGGATCGCCCACCCTGGGCAGCCCTGGGGCATCACCGCAGTCCGGGAAGGCCGGCCCTGGAGACCCAGGAGGAGAGTCCTGTGCTGGATGGAATCCGGGGCCTGCGCACGCACGCAAGCGCTTGCCACTGAGCACACCCTCGCCCTGCTTTGGTTTGGTTGTTTTTTTTTTTTTTTTGGTTGTTTTTTAAGTGAAGCAAGAGGAGAGTTCCCTGGCTTGTGAGCAAAGGAGGGACACCGAGGCCCGCAGACTACCCTAGAGGGAGGTTGCGGCTGGGGCCCCTGGAGGTGGTGGGGGGGACCACCGGCGCTGCTCCAGGATTAACGGTGGTGGTAGTTGCTGATGTGGATGGAGTTGCGGTAAATGATGTGTTGGGGAAAGCAGTAGAGCTCCTGGACATGCAAACCTGGAGATGGTGAACTTGAAGGTGCTTATGAATTAGACGTTAAAGCGCAGTTGTAGGTACATGCTGTTTGAGACAACTGGGCATGCCTGGTGTTCGAGGGAAGTGAGAACTGGACCTAGACCTGGGGGTGAGCTGCGTATACCTGATAGAGTGAAACCCTGGTCTTGAACAACATCTTGGAGCAACAGAAAAGCTACCGAAGAAGCTCTAGAAATGAGACCTGGGGGCTTCCAACATTGGAGGAGTGCGAAGGTTGTGGCAGCCACGACGGAGGTGTGGACAGGGAGAAGGAAAATTAGGAAAGACAGGTGACCTAGAAGCCAAGCAGAGAGAATGAATTTAGAAGGAATGATTTAACCTTTTTAAAATTCAGTGAGAAGTTAAGGGAATTAAGTGTTCCAAGTGCTCTGCAGCGTCGCAGCACAAGGTCCAAGGCCTGTCTGCTGACAGCAGCCGTTCCTTCCTTACAATAGTTACCTGCCATGTAGCATTGATAAGTGCTAAGTAAATACATGTGTCATTGGCCACATGAATATCATTAATGTTCAACCACCGACACACATAGTTACCATTTACCCAACACATTTGCCAAGCTGCTATCTTTTAAGGTTTTTCTACCAAATACTTTATTCACCGTGGATGTAATGTTATGCTAATTGGTGTGAACACTATCCAAGAAATGTTAGAGCACACATGCACTCAAGGAATTCATAGGCAAAGAAAAGATGCAGTCACACTCAAATGACTGTGCATGCCATGTTGTTAAGGAAAGACTGGGAATACTGTGAAAAATGGTAATGGGTAGGTGGACAACCAAAGTTTTTGGAAGACATGGGCCTTCATTTGAAGGATCTGCATCATTTTGACTGTTAGTGACCACGAGGATAGGCCCCTTTCCCCTCTTCTAATTAGTACTTTCACTGTTGTGAATAGTTGATAAGACATCATCATTCATTCTTTCTGTAGAACATCAGCACTGGGATGGCCATAGCTGGAATGATGCTGTTTCTAAGAAGTGTTCGGCTGGTGAGTCAAAAATGAAAACGTCAGTAGACAGCTGTTGCCCAGCAATTTTGTAGATTCAACTATGTGACAACAGATATAAGAATAAATTCTGATATAGCTGCGTTTAAGTGAACTATCCAGTTAACTACAGAATCATCTATTTCATTTGAAAGGTTCTAGCTTCGGGAAGATTTTCAGTTTAACATGAAATGATTTCTTAGGTTGTTTAGATGAAGGAACTTGTGAGCATGGGTTACTGTTTGTGGTTTTCATTTGGGTAAATATTTGAAAACAAAGACCACCTACATAAGTATTTATGTATATACCCACACAAACAAAAAATCCAAACTTGACCTCTATATACAAGTTAAAAAGAGAGACCACGGAGGACAAGTCACAGCCTTTGGGTTGCAACAGCAAGAGGTTTATTTAGGACACAGGTACCTGCGGGCACAGAGTCTCCTCGGAGGACTTGCGCGCCCCAGGTTGAGTTCAGGAGGTTTTTATAAGGCAGAAGCAGGGTACAGAAGCAGAAGTGCGGTTATTGGTTAATTTCAAACACACATAGTAATTTCACCGGTAATTTCAAAGGTATGCAGAGATATGGGGTAAGGGCCAGGGCTGAGGGGAAGTAGGATTGCTAAATGGGAGGTGGCCTCAGAAGCACAGAAGATTTCCTGGTATCGGGCCCCCAGGGTGGTCAGGAGTTCTGTCTGTAAAACTTGTTTATGGCTTAATCTGTGAAGCTTGACCGGTGCCTGCCTGTCCTGCAGCCTTTTGATAAGGCTGGTTCTGGTTTTTGTTAAGTTTTAACAAGTGGGCTGTGGGCCCCTGAGCACTCATGGCGCCTAGTTTCTTTTTATTTTCTCAA